TTAACGCTACTTTGAAAATTATGTCGTTATTTAAACAAATATGTTTTAAATTGTATGATTTCTTCTTGAGGTCCGATGAAGAACCTATAATTTGGTATTTTTCGATCATTTTGGTCTAGCTATCCTCGTCGGTTTGGCCAGGCCTACCGGTGGAGATAGCCTGATACTTAAACGCGCCTTGCAGACCAAAATGATCGGAAGCAACGTGACATGAACATTCCTAAATTTTTTAAAGCGCAAACCGACCTAATCTGCTTGATCGTTGGTACAAACGGGCATTTCATGCTTGCCCCATTAGAGGGCAATAATTCTATTACACTTTTTCTCGACATGATTTTTGAAAAATCGCCTCATTGATGAGAATGTTAAGAAAAATCATCGATTTTCTAGAGAACAAGTTGTGATTAGTCATCTTGACGAGAGAGTTGCAACTACTATCTTGTGTGACTTTCATCCAGTTTTGCGCAGAGGACACGGCTGTGAGACTAGTTTGCTTTGTGTAATTGATGACATTCGCATAGGTTTTGTACTAATCAGACTAGTATTATCATATTGGTTGAGTTTAAAAGTACTTTTAGTTCTGTTCCAATCGTTTCTCTTTCTTTCCCCTGCTTGTAAGCATGTTTAAACCATCTTTTCTTATTAGGTGTAGTGAACAACAGTTAGTGGTTCATTAACGTCCGGCGTCCCGCCAGGCTCTGTATTTACCCCTCTTTTATTCATTAATGATATGCCTCGGGTACTCAAATACTCCGAGTACACACCACGTTTTTATGGACTTATTGCAAATTTTTCAACAGATTAATATTAATATTAATGATGGTGTTACTCTTATGAATGATTACATTAATTCCCTCACGAATCATCAATAGCAAATGGTTCTCCTCCCCTCTCTTCGGTCTTTTATTCTCTCNCCTCTCCCTCTCCCTCTCCCACTCTCACACACACATCCACATCCAAATTATATTTCTTTTCGTTTTACTTTTTCTTTTAAAAATCTATATCTGAATTCTTTAGGAAATTTTGACAAAAACAAGATGTAGTTAAAAGCTAACACCTAAAATAAGGTCTTGCCCAAAATCGCTGCTCTGCCGGTCACCATTTTAACAACCGTTAACATCAGTAGCATGCAGAGAAAACACGGAGAGAATTGGCGGACAAGGTGATCAACTTCGACGAAACTGCGATCATTTTTCGTCATAGGTATTTTTTATAATATATTTAAGCACACGGCAAGAATATTTTAAGCAGGATTGTTTAAAATTAGTATATTCCTGATTCATTTTAAAATTTATGACGACTACCCATTTGAAAAGGGGATTAAGGAGATGTTTGGAACTCGTTTTTAAAATTACTGTCCCTGCCAATGCATAATCGCGCCTCCAGACCAAATTTGCACTTGTGAAACAAATCGAGGTTAAAGTGTTTAATGATTTAAGCTTCGCTGTTGGCGTGACTCTCTCCTATTAGCCAGTTTTACTCGAACCACCGCAGTTGATTACACATTAAGCCTTCAAGTGCCTAGCACTAGATACTATCCCGTAATTGAAACTTCCAAACTGAAATTTGTTCGGATCGTAATAATTTCGTGATTGAAGCAAAGCCCTTTGGTGCTTAATCAAAACCGTGTCGATTGCCCGCACGAACTGATTGATCTCTGCTGTTGTTGATTGATCTTCCCGTAATTTTTGAGGATTTGTTTCAAACGCATCGTTTGCATTGAGGCAAAGCAAATTTTCAAAAGTGTTTTTCAACAGGTTGTTAAATTAAAAGAATGGCCTTCCCCTGAAAAAACGGGACATTGAAGAATATTTGCATAAATTTAGATTAGGAACCTTCAACACAACGTTGACACCTGATAGAGCTATTTATAAAGAAAATATTTTTTAAACTATTCCTTTGTTTCCATTAGACACAAATCCTAAAAACAAGCCTTACTAATTCGGATTTATTTTAAGCACCCTTTAAAATCATTGTATAATTTTCTTCACAATCAAAGAATAGACATTTTTAGACTCGATAGCTAGTGAAAGTTCTATTTGCCTAGATGTCCTCTCGGATTCGACTTCTCTGGATTCTATCCAAACTCAACATTATTACAGCCATTGAAAAGTAGAATATTTCTTCTTCAAGGCTGTTAATGATTAGGTTTTGTGTCATTATAAGTGAGAATAATAAGTATGAGATTTAAAAAAAAAACTCCTTAAACAATTTGTTATTCTCGAATTATTCTAATGTACTTACAGAGGCCAAATTTATCCCTTATGTGTAGTGCATAGATTTCTAAACCTCTGTTAAATTTCCTTTAGATCAGTGTACCCATTTCAAAGTTACAAACATTTTTGTAATTGTCAAAACAAATTGCAGACATTTTAGAAGGCGACACTTTTGTAGGGAAAAAGTCTGGTTTTTTTCAAAAATTTGTATTCAGGGGTATTTCGATGGTGCATAAAACTCGATATCAACATTTTTCTTGCTAAGAAAAAATAGCTTTGCACAAACACAAAAAGAATAATTCTGTGGTTGAGCAAAATTGGCTTATCTATCCAAATATAATACATAATTATTTTGTGACCAAGCCAAGTAGGTAATCGTGCTTATGATTTTCATATCTTTATATAATAAATAACATTAAAATACAAATATTACACTTATTTCTCGATTCAACCAAGACGGGTCAACTCTCGTGATTATTAGAAAACAGAGCCCCCGAAGGTCTTGATCTGACCTGAATAAAAGCTCATCAGGTGTCTTTTATAATACAAATTAATTAAAACTTTTTAAAAACAAATTTATTAATAAAACAGTAAAATTATAACCATTGACATATATTAAAATTCATTTTTCCTTTTTTAAATTTTAAAACAAACTTATAATTAATTGGTCAAGCGGACCATGAAATTAGTGAATTTGAAACAAACATTTAAATTTCTTCATTTAAATAAACAGGAATTTAATCTCTATGTGCAAACCGTATAGAACGAGGGTGGATGAGCACCATAATTTGATTAAAATCAACCCGTTGAGAACCATCAGCACTATTTTGTAGGATCCCGCACTTTCGCTCTCACATGCTAGAAGGGGCTGAATGGTCTATACCCTAAAAGTGGAGATTCCCTTTAAATCACCATATTGTCACTGTGAAATAAATTGAATTGTGAAACGTGAACAACAAATGCAGAACAAATTATATAAATTACTTCAATTTTCACATGCCTAATATTTTCAACAGTAATACCAAAAGAAGTTTAATTAAAAATGGTGATCCCATGTTCATTAGCCTCCCCTGTCAGTAGAAAAAATTATACTACAGTTGACTGCTGGCAAAACAACTCAGCAGATTGTGACAGAAACATGTCCAAATGAAGCATGCAGGAATGAACCATGTTAAATGGGTGATGGGTAATCAAAACCAAATTGAAATACGTTGTATTACCAGTTAGTACTTCCTGAAACAGTACCAGAAGCTAAAATCTAGAAATTATACACTCAAACCACTGCAGTTGATTACACATTAAGCATTCAAGTGCCTAGCACTAGATACTATCCCGTATATATACTGGGAACCTAATACAAACTTTTAGCTAATACTTACATTAAAATGAATAGAGAAAACCAAGTGGAATTCCATTAAACATTTTTGAATTCAACTTCACCAAACAATAGTTTTGTGGGAGGATTCTTCATTTGAGGAATTAAATGGCAATTTCCATTCTATTAAGCACCTGATGCGAGCCTGGATAAAACTGTAACCTATTTATTCCAAAATTAAATAAAACAATAACATAATAGAATGTTATCAACTGTTTTAATGAAAATTTTCTATAAATAGAAATTGGATAGAATTTTGCACAAAGTACATTTTGTAAAACAGATTATGGCCGACAGCAGGTAGGGCAATTAAGAAGAAAGTGATGTGGAGTTTCTTTTTTTTATTATCATTTCCACTCTAGGGAATTGTTAGATGTATACATTAACCATTTAAAAACTCTAACTGTTATAAAACCATCACTCTTAGAAAAATTGCAACTGAAAAATAAAAAATTTATATATTAAGTTTAAAAGAAACCAGGTATTCTGTGATTAAAAACATTAACATTGACAGTAGTAAATAAGATAATATATTCTAGGTTTTTATTATTTATGTATTAAAATTGGTACAATTAAATTAATTAATTAATTTTACAATGACGAACATAAAAACATCGCGTCAATTATTGTCATGATTTATTGTTGAACTTTAAAATTCCTAATGAAATCAGGTTGTTAAGTAATGGATTGATTTTGATGTTATTTTGTTTAGTATAAGTTTATGCTTACTGACAAATTTGAAATTTCTGTTAACTGAAGGCACTGGTTGTATACCATATTAACGAACTTACATTAAAAAAATTAAATAAATAAATTGCCTACTTAAGTTTAAAGATGTGTTAAAGATATACAAGATGATGAACTAGTAGCTTTATCATCCCCATAATCCTAGTCTTATTTCACTGATTTTGTGTCAGAGTCTTGTATGACTGATGAAATAACAGGAATAAGCAGACCAAGATGATCGAAAACAAAGATAACATTTCATTTAGATTTGTAATTGTCTTCTTGATGTCTTTTTTATAACACATTGTTATATGTTTTAAAAGTTAATCTGAAAATACATCATTTAAAAAAACACCACACATAGTTGGTAGGTTTTATGTGATATTGCTTGTAGAAACAAAGAGTAGAATAACAGCATATTAATAAGTAATATATATAAACATAATAAGAAATAAATTGGAGGGTAATAAATTAAATAAACAAAATATTACTTCAAAAAAGCCATTCCTTAACTACAACTTAACAACTTAACTACAAGCCCCCAGAAGTAAGGCAATGTTTCAAATTACTTGGGTATGTATATATGGCAATGTTTCTTATAACATTGAGTTCTGCTCAAATTTTAAATATAGCATTATTATTTTTTATTGTTATTAATTTTTTTCATAAACTTTGTTTTGTAGGATTTGTTGAAAAGGTTGTCCACTGAATATCGAAATGTTCCCCAAGATAAATTGACGACTTTGCTCTCATGTGCATATGCCTTGATTTCTCCCGAAGCGACATCGCTTGGATTGCCAGATTTCCCCATTGAAAACATTCATTTTGGAACAAAGTTGATGGTAAGTTGATCCGGTTAAAAGAAAATCTTTCTGTAGTAATGGGCCAAATAATTTTAGGAGTTGTTTCCTTGGTTGAACGTTGGAGATGTACTTAGTAGACTGTACCCAGGGAATTACATGTTGAACAAAGATGGGCTGGCTAGTGTTAAAGCTATTTTAGACACTTTTAAAGTTGGGGCACCATGCCTCGAAACAAGGGTGAATGAAGTAGTTTGTTCTCTTGAAGGAGCTAAAGCGACTTTACATTCAAATGGATTAAACACTTCAGTCCAACTAAACTGCGGACCTGGTCTTTCTGAAGACCTGGTCAACTTTGTCAGAACTCCTTACCATGATAACTTCCTCGCCGGCCTCACTGAAAGCCATGTCGCAGGCGATTTCTGCATAATTGGCCCGAGGGGATGTGGTAAATCCTTGAGCGCTCTGAGATTTGCAAAACTCCTTGGTTACACAGTGGAACCTATTGTATTATATCAAGACATGACTTCTAGGGATTTAATTCAACAAAGAGCAACTCTTGAGAATGGTGATACATACTGGAAAAATTCACCTTTAGTCTCAGCAGCCCTAGAAGGAAAACTTGCAATACTTGATGGTTTACATCGAGTTCATCCAAGCACCCTTTCCATATTACACAGGTAAAAATTAAGAAAAGAAGACTGCCTAAATTTTTGTTAACACTAATTGTTTTAAGCCTTTGCCCTGTAATAACTAATTCAACAACATTTTCAATCCATAGTACCTTTCTAATTCATATCACAGACTCAGAACTATAGTTTTACTTTCACATTGCATCTTTAATTAACAATATACATTTAAATAATATTTTGCATATTTTTGAATTGAGATAGGTATAATTAGTTGAATGCTGTTTCAGGTTAGTCCAGGATAGAGAGTTACAACTTCATGATGGAAAACGCCTCATAAAGCATAATCGATACGATGAGTTAGTGCAAAAGTATGGACAAGATATTATTGATGCATCAGGATATTTGAAAATCCATCCTTCATTTAGGATAATCGCATTGGCCGAGCCGAATTGTAAGTTTCTTTGAAATTTTTAATGAGTATTTCATCATCTTTGTCTCTTTCAGCTCCAAACACGATACCATGGTTAAATCCAGAGCTGCTCAGTCTGTTTATTTATCACGAAATGAGGCCAATGACGATTGAAGAAGAAGTTCACATTATAAAAAGTATTGTAAGTTAGATAGGTTAATCTGTATTTTTTTAAGTGTGTTAATTAAGGTGTTTTTGTTTTAGCATAAAAAAGTTCCAAGATCTGTACAGAAAGTTTTGGAAATTTCCCATTCGCTTCGACAATCCTCAGAACCCATGCTTCTATCATTGGCAAGCTCTTTGTCAACGAGACAGCTACTCAGGATTTCACAAAGAGCTGTTAATTATGAAGAAAATGATGCTTACAGTGTAATTCAGAGGGCGTGCTTAGCCAAGTGAGCAAAAATTTTCATTAAGAATTATTTTCTATCACTTATTATTTTGTAATTTCAGATTTTTACCCCCATTGGCAAAGCAAACTTTAGATACAATTCTTTCAAGAGCTGGCCTTGTTGAGTCCAGTCTAGAAGATAATTTGAATAAGAAAATTACAGTGAACGACAATACTGTAACAGTTGGCAATACAACAGCTCCAATTTTTCAAACAACTGCTACAAGCAAAGTTCCTGATATCCTTTTCTATGATGTTCCACAGGTTGGGCAAATATAAAATTATTTTTTAATGATGTCTAATATTTTATTTTCAAAAATATAGCATGTAGGGCTCTTAGAAAGGCTCATGCAAGACTTTATCCTCGGAGAACATTTGCTGCTTGTAGGTAATCAGGGAGTTGGCAAAAATAAATTGGCAGACAAACTTTTGCAACTTCTCAACAAACCAAGGGAATATATTCAGCTTCACAGGTATTATTTTTTAAATAATAATGATAGGGTCTTTTTACTACAATTTATAATTTTAGAGATACAACAGTTCAATCTTTGACTCTGCAGCCAACAGTCAAAAATGGAGTTGTATCTTATGAGGACTCACCTTTGGTGGTTGCTGTGAAAAATGGACATGCGTTGGTCGTAGATGAGGCAGATAAAGCTCCGACTCACGTTACATGCATATTAAAAGTATTTTTTATTTTTTTTTTATGCAAAATGTTTTGTTGTTTATTAATAAGTATACATTTTTAGACATTAGTTGAAAGTGGAGAAATGATACTTTCTGACGGTAGGAGAATTGTAAGCAATAAAGATCCAAGAGCAGCAATGGAAATAGACGGAATCATCCCAATCCATCCAGACTTCCGAATGATAGTTTTGGCAAACCGTCCAGGTTTCCCATTTTTAGGGAATGACTTTTTCGGCGCCTTAGGTAACATTGTAACATTATTGATATATCAAGTATATTGTATAACTTAAATGGTGATCATCCTGGTATAACTGCTGCTGCTGCTGACATTTAGTAAAAATTAGATATAACGCTCCCGTTTATTACATGCTCTTTTTTGTGGACCCCAGTCTTACCGAGGAAGTTTCCATTGAAAGTTTATTTGTTCTACATCTCCAATTTCCTGTTTATAATGCTCTGGCAGAAAGATTTTTCTAAAGATTTTCTTTTTTTAAAGTAGGAGAAAGATATGTTAATTGAAGTTTTAAGCCTTGAACCCCCGTTCGATGAACATAAGACAGCATCAAAAGTAAGATAAGATGAAGAAAGATGAAAGAATCATTTATAATAATACATATAATCTATCCAGCTGAAAATAATTCATATTTTGGATGCATTAAAGATGATAATATGGTGTGCTAGACAACACTTTTCAAAATACATATTAATCACAAACACTGTTAAAAATAAATAAAAAATAAAATTATTTAAAAAAAAAAACTTTAGTATGTGCCAAACGTAAAATAATAGATTAATGTTTTATCTAGGACCATACAACAATCAAAACATGTTTTTAAGTAATTTTTAATTTGTATGTTCATAATTTTTTTTTAAATTGTTTATACATATGTCTTATATACTCTCAAAGACAAAAACCATACACTTCAAGTTATTTATTTTCCATAATAACTAGGTTTCCATAGTTGACGTAAAACATAAACACAACATTAGTAATTTGTTATTTACCTTTATAGAGTGTTACTAGTCATTTTACACTCTTTACGTTAAAAATAAAGAAAATCATTTCAATTCCAGAGCTAACTTGTCAAGTGATGATTGTTTTTTTAAATTGCTTTCTTTGATAAAAACAATATATTTGAGCAAGATCTCGCCCGGGCAGAGGCTTTGGGCAATGATGGACATCTGCATCCTTTACATAGCCCAGGTCCTGGGTATTAAACTCCCTACCATCTACGATGGTTTACAGCAGTTTAGGGCCACCGGAAGTCTCGATCAAAGAGTAGTGAGGTAGTGATTGACCATATGACCCCAATGTACAACAGCCAGAAGCAATAATTTTATTGGTTTTACCGCACTACATAACCATCATTTAACAGATTCTTTGATATACAGGGTGAATTGCTACTCGTGCTACAAACTTCTCCAGTAGATTCTTCACCCTAAAATGAACAAAAAAGTTCATATTGTCCATGGTCCGATTCTCAACCATTTCAGAGTAATTTCGCTTTTTATCGATTTTGAAAGATATCACGTCCTGGCGTCGGAAAATCGTGATATCTTTTAATCTAAACATTTCTCTGAAAATCTAATAGCACCGTTGAAATTCCCGTTAATTTTTCAATAAGAAGATGACGGTGGCAAAATGTTTGGGCTAATTTTTTGTGTTTTATTTCAGCCAGAACTACAAAAAGAGTGGAAAATTGTGTAAATCGGAAAGTGTATAAAGTAATCCAGAGTTTCTAATTTTAGTCTCAGAAGGCAGCAAATTTGAGGAAAACTACCTGATTTAATAACGCTTCCAACGCACTCGTCATTTTCTTATTTAGTGGTTGTGAGACCAAGATGTTGATGACAAAAAGAGAAAAAATGGTGGTTCAAGGATTGCTAATGTTTGAGAGTGACTTGCTACTCGTGCTACAAACTTCACCAGTAGATTCTTGACCCTAAAATGAACAAAAAAGTTCATATTGACCATGGTCCGATTCTCAACCATTTCAGAGTAATTTCGCTTTTTATCGATTTTGAAAGATATCACGTCCTGGCGTCGGAAAATCGTGATATCTTTTAATCTAAACATTTCTCTTAAAATCTATAAGCACCGTTGAAATCCCCGTTAATTTTTCAATAAGAAGATGAAGGTGGCAAAACGTTTGGGTCTTTCTTCCTTGACCTTCTAGCTGTTTGTAAACTTCTTAAGCATTACATACTAAATGGGCATTAAATTAAATTAAAAAATTTCAATGGAATTATGATTTTGATTCTCTCTAAAAATTAACGGGGATTTCAACGGTGCTTATAGATTTTAAGAGAAATGTTTAGATTAAAAGATATCACGATTTTCCGACGCCAGGACGTGATATCTTTCAAAATCGATAAAAAGCGAAATTACTCTGAAATGGTTGAGAATCGGACCATGGACAATATGAACTTTTTTGTTCATTTTAGGGTGAAGAATCTACTGGAGAAGTTTGTAGCACGAGTAGCAATTCACCCTGTATAGTAAACTCCAAATGGTCCATAATGTAAAGATAAGCTTTAAAAAAGTCATCAGAAGGCTTTGGCTAGGAACAGCCTAGTCTATAGAAGACCCTCATCAGGTTCTCCATTACTGGAGAGGCAACGAGTAGAAAGGTAACGACTATTTGCAAATCTGCATCTTGCTTAGACACTTGAACAATAAGGAACTGTTCTCTTCGCAGTTGAGTGATGGTTTGGTTGTGTCGGATGACTGGGACCAGGTGTGGAGAAGACGCTTTGCTTTATGTGCCATGCTTGTTTCACTGTCTTTTCAAAGACGGTTTTGGTATGAGGTGGAATCAACGTCCATGCCATTACCAAACTGATTATCATACAGAATGGATCTTTGACTGCACTAATGTACATTGAGGAAGTTATTCTAGAAGCTGTAGTCCCATTCACTCCATTTATTGGGGACAATTTTGTGTTAATGCATGATAATGCTTGAATGGATGTAGCTTGAGTTAAGTAATGGGTATTACTTGGGGAATGTAGGGATTACTACAATGAATTGGCCAGTACGTTCTCCTGACATTAATCCCATAGAACAGTTATGATAAAGAGACGGGTTAGACATCGTTCACCGCCACCAACAAGCGTTGTATACATTCAACCGTTCTTTTGAAGAATGGGATTCAAAATCGCTTATTTACTTGATGCCTGAGAGACTTAAGGCCCTCCGCAAGGCCAGAGGAGGTAATACCATTATTAAGAGCGAAACATTGAATAAATTGTTGGTTAAATTTTAATCTATCACTAAACGATTTTCTTGTGTTTTGGTGAATTTTGTTTCAAACCATCATAATTAAATATTTTTTATTAAAACTCAGAAATTATTGATCTTGTTTAACATGGTTTACACAAAATAAGTATGTAATTAATATAATGATACAAATTTGAAATAAAGTACAAATGAGTGTCGCTTTTGTCATTTTTTTTTTTAAATTTTGATTTTATTGGTTTTATTTTGATATAAATATATTCCTTTGTTAGTCGTTTTATTTTTTCACATTAATAGCGTTTTCCTGGTTATAGTGTTAGTTTTCTTCAGTCCCTAAAAGAGTGTTATAATGAAGTTTTACTGTATAAGTTTCAGACAAAACCATGGATAACCATTCTCCTTAATGTTAAATGTCATAGATAGATTAATTTTCCAGGTGATTTATTCAGCTGTCACTCTGTCGACAATCCAAGCAGAGATTCAGAAATTGAGCTTCTGAAAAATTACGGACCTAATGTACCAGCTGACATTGTGCACAAGTTAGTCGGCGCTTTTGGAAAACTGAGAATTATGGCTGATCAAGGTCTAGTCGCGTATCCTTATTCAACAAGGGAATTGGTCAATATCATAAAACATCTTCAGGTACAATTAAAAAGTTCATATTCAAATTGATATAGGCCATGGATGACGTTTTAAATTAAAGTAAATTCTGTTTTTATAGGCTTTTCCCGAAGACAGTTTGTCAGAAGCTGTAGGAAATGTCTTCGACTTTGACAGATACAGCAGTGATGCAAAGGAGACTTTGTTGGATGTATTATCAGAATATAACATCCCTGTTGCAATGACAACAGAAGAAAGAGCAAAAAGTAAGAAATTTACGTAAAAATTGTAATTATATTTATAAAATGAAATATTTAACTATGTTGTACTTAAGTTCTTATTTCTGTTTTAACAATTGTTGGTGTCAATCGGGAATTATTTAATTTTTTTGTCTATTTTTAAACGTTTTTTTTTTTTTTTCATTTAACCATTTGCTAAAAACTAGAGCGGATTTATAATTATGTATTATAATATTAATATTAAGGTAGTTTTAAGTAGTAGCAGGTAAGAAGGTGTGATCGGCCATAGGCATACTGAGTTGTTGATAAATCGGCGCTGTGAGTGGGGAGACAAGTGCCAATCAGTGCGATGAGTTAACAACGTGTGTGTGGGCCTGCAGAAGCGTTTCTTTCCTTCTGCCCATTTTTTCTCTGCTCTCCATCGTTTCTTCGAGACTGAGGGCCGTATTTCACTTCAGTGCTAGCTCACTTTACAAGTTACTTCATGTACCCATTTATACTGAGAGTCAAGAATCTACCAGCTTCATGGATCATCTCTTCTTTCCAGCACCAACTTCATGGATCATCTCTTCATTCCAGCACCTAGCTCCTCTTTTCCATTTCCATCCAGCCTGCATCATCTTGGACACTAACACTCGGTCAGATTGTTCCTTTTTATTGTATATCTATTAATTATATATATTCTTTTAGTTTGACATTATTAATTTTATTACCATAACAGACCTATTTTATTGCATGCAATACTAATTGTTTTCATATGAATTTATCGTATGTTCTTATATGTTTATATATTTTTAATTACAACTTGTATTAACATTGTATCTCATTTTATAAATTCAATCTTGCTCTCGTTATTAGCAAATTCTTATATTAATACTATTAGCAAATTATATTAATACATTTGAGGAATTGGTTCGTTTGAAGACATACCCCTTCCATCAGTGTGAGGGGGTCATTTGTGGAAAACCTGTAAAAATACATTAGAGTTGGAGATATCCTACAGCTTGATTCGCACATTTGGTCCTCTGGGCTGGATTTTCCTTGTCTGACCTCTTTTCCTGTCTTGGTTTTTATCATCTGTGTTGTTAAACTAATTTTTTTTTTTTTAAATTAATTTCCAGTAAACATATTCATCAAGTAGACTGATTTAACTCTCGATCAAAATCCCGCATTTTGCAGAACAATTTATCAGGAGATACAATTGATTCGAGAGAGAGCCAAATAGATAAATATTTTAATGAATATTCCAAAGCCTGGGATCGGCTATAGGAAATATATATCCTTATGGATAAGGATTTTCCTCTATCAGAGGACCTCTTAAATATTGTCACAAGTCATATGAGTGAGTGTAACATGGTATTTCATAACGCCATGAATCCTATTCCAAATCCTCCTGTTGTACCCGGAGCAAACTTTACCTTTTCAGACTCTCAGAACTTGTCTTATAAACCTTCCATTATTTCAAGGCAACGTGTTGGAATGGCCAGCGTTTAGGGACACATTTAAATCCATCGTACATGACGAAGGCACTTTAGATGAGGTGGAAAAATTCCATCATTTAGTTGAATCTTTAAGCAGAGAGCCCCTCAGAATCGTTTCAACTTTCCCAATATCAGCAAATAATTACCTAGCTGCCTGGACAGCCCTTAACAAATGATATGACAATAAGTGAATTTTGGCTTCCGCCTACTTTCACAAATCACAATTCCAACCTTCATTAAATCCAAAACCTTCCAACATTCATTACTTACTAGCCTTTTTAAAAAATGTTGCTGATAGTTTCACCGCCTTTAATAATTTAAAATTAACAAAGAAGGCTGACTATTTGAAACTTCAGATTGCTTTTGACTGTCTGGATCCCAAATACAGACGAATGTTTGAAGAAACGCAACAATGAGATGAATTCCCAACTTACTGTTCATTAATACATTTCATTGAACAACGGTGTCAAGTGATGGACTTATCAGAGCCAGTATATTCTATACAAACAGGACCTCGTTCCTCATCCCGCAACTCTAAGGTTCTTACAATTTATCCGGAAACACATAACAACTCAGCAACCACTGCATTTTCAAACAGGAAGATCTGTCCAAAATGTAATAAGAGTCACATACTCTTTCAATGTTCATCTTTCCAAAAATTGAGTCTTCCTCAAAAATTTAATTTTATACGGTCAAAAGGGAATTTGTTCCAATTGCTTGCAGCTTGGCCATTACTATTTAAAGTGCTCCTCGTCCTACAGCTGCTTCCATCGTAAAGAACGGCACCACTCCCTCCTTCATAACAGTATAGATAACCAATTGGGCAATTCAAATCAGGAAAGTAGCTCTGATCGAAAGACTTGCCATACAGCCATTTCGGATCAATCACCTGTCATAAATAATACATCTACCGGAGTTGTGGGCTCTGTTCTTGAAAACAAAAATGTCCTACTCGGCGCGGCAGTACTCCATTTTAATGATTGGAGATCATCCTCAGGCAGTTAGAAGTCATAGATTCAGGGTCTCAATTCTCAATAATAACGACTGGTTGCGCCAAAAGATTAGGTCTTACTTGGTCGCCCTGCAGGTAGACTATGAGTGGAATAGGACTCACCCGTTTACCTTCCTCCAAAGGTATTGTTAAAGTCACACTTAGCTCTGCTACAAATATTCAAAAGAAGATCATTACTGAGGCAATTGTTATGCCATCATTAATTGACAACTTGCCCACAGCTAGCCTAAATCCATCTGTATGTGAACAATTTCATTTTGTTAATTTGGCCGATGAAGAATTCTGGAAATCACATCCTGTAGACTTTCTTCTAGGGTCAGATCTTTTGCTTCAAACAATGACTACGGAAGCCGTGGTAAAAATTACAGAAGATTTTGGATCCCTACCCTCTATATTTGGACATGTAATCGTAGGAGCTCCACCATAACAACTTTCAACCATACATGGAAATTGCTTGTCTATATTACAATGTCCTTTTTCCGACACTGTCCTAAAACATTTCTGGGAGATGGAGGAAGTAACGGTTTCAGCAGATTCCCATCCAGATGATATAAAATGCGAAGATTATTTTAGATCCACAATTCAACTATTACCCTCTGGCCGGTATATGGTTGCTCTACCTTTTCGAGATCCCAGCTTGACATATCCAGACTCATGGTCATTTGCCATAACCAGATTTCATAATTTGGAACAGAAATTTCATAAAAATTCCGAGTTGCATTGGTAAATATAAAGAATTTATTGCAGAATATATCAGCCTGGATCATGATCCTAACCTCATCACATAGTTTCTAAAAAGGTATTTATTATAAGTATCTGAAAGTGCAGATATTATAAAGATGTTCCGACAAATTCTAATTGTACTTGAACACCATAAATACCAACATATTTTATGGCAACATTCCCCTGAAGAATCTCTTGAGACTTACGAATTGAAAACCCTGACATACGGACAAACCTCGTCTCCGTATTTGGCTCTGAGGGTTTTTGCTAAATTAGTACAAGATGAAGGCAAGGATTTTCCTGAGGTGTCAAATTTCTTACTCAATGACATTTATGTCGATGATGCTATTACCAGTGTAGACTCTTTGGAAGAAGCGCTAGAACTCAAGCACCAGAATATGGCTTTGCTCAATCGAGGTTCCCGGTACATAAATGGGCGAGCAATTCAGCTGATTTCCTAGTGTCGATTCCATTTGGTGCACAAGAGACTGAGATATGCATGTCTTCGGAAGATTCCATAACCAAGGTTTTGGGGATGATGTGGGACGGAATAACGGACTGTTTCCAGTTTAAGATAGAATTCCAAAATAACAAAACAATCAATGCTATCTATTATTACTTGCTTATTTGACCTTCTGGGATTTTTAGCCCCTACTATTTTCATGGTAAAAAACTTAATTCAAGACCTCGTTAAAACTAGGTTGGGATGAACTCCCTCCACGTTCCATTATCATCGCTTGGACTGAATACTTACAAGCATTGCCCAGCCTAGCCAAAATAAACATCCCTCGATGGATTCATATATCGTCTGGTTCAAAATGGTTGTTTGGTTTTTGCGACACTTCAGAGAAAAGTTTTACTGCTGTCATTTAGCTACAAATTACCAATCCAAACTTAACGGTTTGCACTTATCTCCTGACTGCTAAGACTCGGCTGGCTCCTCTTAAAACAATATCAATCCCAAGACTAGAGCTTTGTGCTGCTCATTTATTGATAAAACTATTCAAATTGCTCAAAGAATTTAGGGTGGTCAGTGCCATTGACGAGATTCTTTTATTTCTGACTCCACAATTGTTCTGAGTTGGCTCCATCTATCACCTCATCAACTTAAGACTTTTGTTGCAAATAGAGTTAGCTACATTCTGTCTTACTCCCGCACTCAACAATGGAATCACGTTCCCTCTTCAGAAAACCCTGCAGACATGGCCACGAGAGGGATTTTATCTACAACCCTGGCAATAACGAATTTGTGGTGGAATGGACCTCTGTGGATGAATAGACACACTTTGAAATGTCCTCCCGTGCCTGCTATTTTCCTAGATCTGCTTGAACGTAAAACCCATTTACAAGTTCTTATAAACATTTCATCACATAAGTTAGCACATTCGTTAATAGAGAACTTTTTAAAGTCTAATACAATGGTGGGAACTTTAGCTTACGTTCTCCGATTTGTCCATAATAAGATTAAAAAAAAGAAAATTGGAAGAGAAAAAAAGGTTTCTTAACTGTAACAGAATTGGATTTAGCAGTTGCATGTCTAATTTGAGGCATGTAGTATAAATATTTCCAATCAGATTATGAGTTTGATTTGAACACATACATTTCTTCAAAGTTCAGAAGTTTGATAGTATTTAAAGATCCATATGGAGTGCTCAGGGTGGGCGGCAGATTATCCAAAGCAGCATTTAATTAGACGGTTAAACATCCAGCTTTACTTCACCCTGATGCTAAGCTTACATCAATGATAGTCAATAATGCCCATTTACAAAATTTCCATTTGGGACCTAAGGCGTTACAAGCTTATCTTCAGAGAAGGTACCACATATTTAAAAAAAAAAAAAAGGGCTGGTAAAGAAAAAAGTTTGGAACTGTCTTCGCTGTTTCAAATTAAAGGGTAAGCCTAGATCCTTTAAACAATATGAAGGAAAACCAGGCTGGTTTTAGATGGGCGGTATGTTGGTGTCAATTGGGAATTATTTAATTTTTTGTCTATTCATTTAACCATTTGCTAAAAACTAGAGCGGATTTATAATCTATGTATTATAATATCAATATTAAGGTAGTTTAAGTAGTGTATTAGCAGGTAAGAAGGTGCGATTGGCCATAGGCTTTAGTTGCATACAGAGTTTTTGATAAATCAGCACAGAGAGTGGGGAGGCAAGTGCCAATCAGTGCGACGAGTTAACAATGTGCGTGTGGTAAAAATGCATTAGAGTTGGGGATATCCTAAAGCTTGTGGAGCCCTGATTCACACAACAATAATTGCATGATGCAAGGGAAAGATACTCATGAATAATTTAATATTTTAATTTGCTCCCATACTGGAACTGTATTGTAGTTAATTTCTGCAATTTTTTAACTGAGAATTCTTTGTACAGATCGAAAAAGGGTTCAAATGACAATTGACAAAGATAGCGGTAAAGATGTTTCCTCGCCGAAACATGGTAAAGTCGATGAGAAGAATGAGCCCCATGTCGGCGGCAACACTTGGGCAGGTGGTACCGGCGGACGGGACACAGCAGGTCTGGGCGGAAAAGGAGGCCCTTACAGATTAGACGCCGGGCATGACGTTACTCAAGTGAGTCATGATTTCTTTTATCTCCTTTGCAGGAAATATATTATATAGTTTTTAGATCAGTGATGAGGAGAAAGCTGCTGTACCTGAGCACATCAAGAAAGCGGCACGTGAAATGGGTCAAAAGGCCTTCAAAGCAAAACTTGAGGAAATTAAAATGAGCGCCTATGACGCCAATCTCTATGAGGAGTTCTTATTATCTGTTTCAAAACAAGTATTTTCATTTATTTATTTATTCATTCATTCATTTATTTATTTGTATTTTATATCAGGTACAAGCTTTAAGAGTAATACTGAGCTCGCTTCAGGCAAAATCTAAAGAGAGGCAGTGGCAGCGACATCAGACCACTGGTGAATTGGATGATACAAAATTAATTGAAGGTAACCTATTTCAAATTATTTCAAAATAATAATGTATAATTTCGTCTGCTAAATGCGATTTGGCTTGTTGCATAATGAAGGATCTGAGAGACCAAAACCCTTCTCACAGACCAAAAACACTACGTTAGACAGCCCAAAATGATGAAAAATGACCAAACTACGGTTCATCACCCCACAGACTCTTAGGAAAAAATTGCACAATTTAACTTTTTTTCCCAGCCTCCAATGGGAGTAATCGATTTTCCATCATCCCTTATTCGTTCTTTTATCACAAAAACAATATTTGCAGATTAAATAAGGGAAAACACTCTGTTTCCTCTTAAAATCAGAACAGGTAACCCAACAACCTACTCTCATTAAAAGCTCGAGTTCAAATGGCTATAAAAAATAATGACTTTTTTCTCAAATGACCAATATGCGTTTAAAAAATTTACACTAATGTATCCAAAAATCTCAATGCTGTATAGTAGGTCAAAATTCACAAAGAAAACAAAGAGCCTTTTATAATTCTCCATATCACAAACCCACCACAACAATAGATAAAATAATTAAAACCCACCCAGTTTCAAACCTACATTCGGTATTAACAATTCTTTATAATTGACAAAACATTTAAAGCACATAAATATACCTAAAAACTGTGTTTTAGTGTCATGTTATTAATATAGTTACAAATATCTCTATTAATGAACGTACTGAATTAATTAAACAAAGATTCTATTAAAGACTAAGATTGTAAAAATATGATGGGATTGAATGAGTTTTCTGGATTTTTTATTAGAATTATCAACTTTTTTAACTAATGTTGTGAAATGATAGTTTAAATAAATACAAAGTAAAATATTCATAAATTATTTAGGTGTCACTGGTGAGAAAAACATTTATCGAAGGAGAACCGATAAAGAGCCAGAAGTTGGTTCACCACAGTTAAAGCCAAAAAGGTTGAAATTGGTCGTCGACGTTTCTGGCAGTATGTACAGGTTTGAATCTTTGATTTCTCTCCTCTCTGATTTTTTTTCTTTATTGAAATTCTTCTTACACTAAAAGGTTCAACGGATATGACGGCCGTATGGATAGACAGTTGGAGGCTGTCGTCATGGTCATGGAAGCATTCAAAGGTTACGAGTCTAAATTCCAATATGATATTGTTGGCCATTCAGGAGAATCACCTAGTATTTCATTCATTGAAAAAACAAATCCTCCACCTGACAACAAACAACGACTGGCTGTTATTAGGGTATAAATTATTTAAATATCTCACGTGAGCTCAACTAAAAACATATTTTTTTAGACAATGCACGCTCATTCACAATTTTGCATGTCTGGTGACTACACCCTTGAGGCAACAGAAGATGCAATAAAGAGCCTTGCTAAGGAAGACTGTGATGAAGCTATTGTTATCGTTCTTTCTGATGCAAATCTCAGGCGTTATGCCATTCCTGTTAAAGAGCTAAGCCAAAGCCTTATTTGTGATCCTCGAGTTGAAGCTTACATTATTTTCATAGGATCATTGGGAAACGAAGCAGAAAGGTTCATCAAACAGAAGTTTTCATTAATATATAATTCTTATTAAATTGTATTTTTAGGTTGAAAAATGCTCTTCCTGCTGGTAAAGGCTATCTGTGTTTGGATTTGAAAAACCTGCCTCAAATTTTACAAACCATATTCACTTCTTCGATGTTAAAATCATAATTTAACCATTCCATGACATATATAATGTAATGTTAATTTTTTTGATTTTCATTGCGTTAGGCAAGATTTATTTTTATTTTACTAATTTATTGCATTAGGCTGTGATAATTAGTATTGTGAAGGATATAAATATTCCAATTTATCTAAGGTTTTTGGTGGAGATGAAAAAGTAGTATCACGAGCAGGATCCAAACCCCGACTTTCAGCTCAATACACCATTGCTATGGTGGTGTACCTCAATACACCACTCGTAACACGATAGCTCAAGTGGTTACAACATCAGCATAATGAGCCAAAGGTTATGGGTTTGAATCGTGCTCATGACATTAATTTTTCATCTCAACCAATCCTTTAGATAAAAAGAATATGGTTAATTATGACCACTAAACAAATATAGATATGAATATTTTTTATTATAAAAGATATATTTTATTAAGTTACCGCTGGTAGGTAAATACATTTTTAATGCATTAAGTTTGTGTTTTTTAATGTACACCTGTAAACCTTATATACTTGTAAATATAGCAAAAACAATGTTGTAGTGAGAATGGTAGTTTGTAATCACAAGATCAACATCGTATTACTATTCTTGCCAGTTTTGTCTGTCAGATTACTTCACATTTAACAAATGTATAAAAATGACATGATCAACAGATCTCACACGAACCACTAATATGACCGGAAGCACATCTGACATGCAATATGGAAAGAAGAAACAAAAGAAGAAAGAAAAACTAGAGTTGGTATAGAGATGGCTCAAAGATGGGAAATCGAACGGGCATGGGTATAAACGGGACTAACTATAAGCATCACATTGCTCTCAGCCCCACCACAACCCTCTTTCAAGTCGGACAACTAATCATAGAAACATGTACACATGAAATAAATAATGAACATCTCAAGGGTGCAACAATAGTAGTACTATCAGATGGTCACAAAGCTCTACATGCTCACCGAGACTATGAGGTCAACTTCTGGAACTGCCTGAATACCCTAAAATAACTACATCTAAGAATAATCTCAGGCTAAGGTGGGTCCCAAGAGATTTCAAGCAACAAGCCATCAGACATTGAGCTCAAAAGGGAGCTTCAGAATTACACAAGGCTCCAATCCATTTTGTGGCATAAACTGTAGGCGTATTAGAAAAGAACTGAAATCTTTTGTTACTAAAGAACAACCCATTTATGTTTGAGTGGTCAATTGACCAAGTTACTTCTTTCAATTAATTTCTTTTTATGTAAGGTCTTGGTTGAGATAAAAAAGTCAAGTGTCACGAGTGGGATTCGAACCCACAACCTTCAGCTAAATACGCTGTTGCTCTACCACTTGAGATATCGTGACTTCGATCCTCTCGGACATATAACAACATAACGATAATGTAAGCCAGGCACGTGACAAACAAAAGACAACTTGCAAAAACAACCCAATGGGACAAAAGAAATCCTATTCAAGGAAAATTAAAAACTGTTTGAGACATGCTATGGTAAAATACCACTTCAAAAAATATAACTACTAATAGGTGACCAATCTCGACCATGTCTGGAGGAAGCACCTGCCCTGCAATACCAAAGGAAAGGCCTAGGAAAGCCTTCTTAAAAAACTAAGACCATGATACCATACCTCAAGGAAGAAATATTTAATTCATTAAAGAAACAAAAATATTCCAGGAAAACCATTAGCAAATATCTGAAGCAATATAAGACAGTTTAAGTGTTTAGGGGGAAAATCACTATAAATAATAGGGAAAAATAAATAAATAAGGCCATATTGCTAAGGAAAATGATCTTATTTTACCTAAATTAAAGGAAAAGTAAATTTAAAAAACAATATAATCTGGAATTATCTTTTCTAACAACATAATTGCAGCGGCATGGATGGATGTAAATAAAGTTGTTAGCTATAGTCTTGGACATAGTTGTCTTCTGCAATTATGCTACACAAGACATCCATTTGGAACGGGAGACTACCATTAAAGACCTTGAAATCACCTACTCTAACAACCTGACATTTAACTCGCATTGCACCTCAATAATTAATAAGGCAAATCTAATTTTAGGTTTTGTACATCAAACTACAAAATATTTTAAGGATGCAGAATAATGATTATACTGTTAAAGATTGTGGTCCGTCCCATTTTAGAATACTGTTCATTTGTTTGGTCACCACATCATAAAATATTAAGTAATTCAATAGAAAATGTACAGCAATGATTTATTCACACTCTCTGGTTTACAATTACTAGAACATACTTAGTTACATGGTACAAACTTTTATGAAATACACAGAACTTAAACTACTAAAGATAAGACGACAAAATAATGACCTGATATTTTCTTACAAACTCTTAAATAATATGAACAACTGTCTATAATTAATCAATTTGCTAAATTAACATGTTCCACATGTAACACGAGACAAAAGATATTATTTTCAAAATTTAATTATAATACAAATTATTTAAAATTTAGTCCGATTCCCTCAACTCACGGAAACAAGTACTACACACTTTGTACCTTAAGTCGATTTAATTTATGTTAAAATTATCTTTGATTTGCTAATATATTTTTGTTGTTTTCATTAAATTTTTATCATTCCTTGTCACTTCCTTTATATTTATTTATATATTTATATTGTTTAATTATATTTTTATTATTCCTTTTAATTTCCTTTTTATTTGTTTATACATTTCTATTGTTTAATTAAATTGTTATCATTCCTGCTCATTTCTTTAATATTTTTATACACATGTGTATTATGTAAAAAATTGATCAGTAAATGTGAACTAAAGCAAATATACCCCGAAATAGCCTAACTAATAAAATATGGGAAATTGTTAATAAGTCATATAGACGGGTCAAAGAGTGGGATGCGGATATGTCGTTAGAAGCCAACAGTATAGCTTGAGATTACCCTCGATAAATATTATCTTCAATGCCGAATTGATGTCCATATACAGAGCAATACATGAGGTCCAGTCGAAACATAATACGATTATTATTTTCTGTGACTGCTACGGTACTCTGCAAACCATTAAAGGATATAATATCAAAAAAACCCTTGGTTCATATGGAGTGAGGCAATCTGTAAACTTTACTTCAGTGGAATCTCTATTTCCTTTGTATGGGAATAGGAATAAGAAAAAACAAACTAGAAGATGGTGCCGCTAAAACAGCCCAATGCTTATCCGAACCTGTGCTGAATGCGTAGATGATAATAATAATAATAAAGTTTATTAAACTTATACAAAATATTATAATAATGTGAACATAAATGTTCTCAATAAAAAATAAAATACGGCATGGGTACTCAGTCTGCCAGAATGATGATTAATATGCTATTCTAATTTTGAAAGTAGTATAGGTATGCACAGATGATTTCTTTCAAATTTCACAAGAGAAATATTTAAAACACGGGTATCTGACAATAAACTAAGAATGATAAAAGACAACATCCATCCTTGGGAAACTTCTTATCAAGCGAACAGGAGGGAGGAAGTGGTCATCTGCCCCATCTGAATAGGACAAACAAGACACAGATGAGTTCCTGATGAATGGTACTGCCCCTCCTGTCTGCCAATGTGGTGAGTGCCTAACCATCGAATATGTCCTTTGCCCCCCAGGAAATTGCTAACACTTTAATGTCTTCCCTACGTCATCCACTTAAATAACTTCTACAGGATGATAACCACATGGTTGACAAAGTCATCATATATTTGAAGAAAATAAAATTATACAACAGTATAAACATATTAATACATAGATAACATAAGTAACAAAAAGTGAAACGTCTCTGAGGGACGCAGGCTAGTGGACTTTTGCTGATTTAGTAGGGTTGACACAAAGGGACCTCAGGGCCAAAGCCCATGACTTCCTGAGGATGTGGACTTTCCATATTGGCTTAATTGTAGATTGTTTTTATCCACATCCTCAAAAAGGGGCTCCATACATTCAGTCATATGAAAATGTAAATCTAAAGAAAAGGAGTCCCTGCCTCCCTGGTACCTCCCAGTTTGGTGGTGGTGGCTGGTTACACACATTCCTCAGAGTTTGTTGAACACAGATCTCACACACACACACACAAATGCAATGATACCCCTCACTCGTTTTTTGCCTATTAAAAAAAATGTATTATGACGTAACACTTATAATATTTTATTAGTGTTTGTCATGCTGAAATGTCCATATTTTTAATGATTGTTATACTTATATTATTATTGCTGTTGCAGTTATTAATTATTACTTATAAATAGTTTAAACGTTTATAGAACTTGTAACGGTTTATTTACCCATATAAATAAATATCGAATTTTGTAGCATTTTTCAACATTTAGTATTAAGTATTAATCCATTTATGTTTGGTGGTCTAATTGACCAGATTACTTCTTTCAATTAATTTTTCTTTATATTTAAGGTCTTAGTTAAGAAAAAAAGTTAGTGTCACAAGCGGGATCCAGACCCATGACCTTCGGCTGGTGTGTTGTGTTGTAAAACGCGGTAAATCTGGAAAATTTTCTTTCATCATAGGCGCATCTTCCACTCTGTCACAATCAAAAACAGCAGATTAGAAACTCAGTTTTCACAACAATTTCACACAAAGCCAATATGACACCACAAGAATAGCACCACACTTTATTGTGAGTATGAAATACTTGGTTCAAAATTTATATTTACAACTTAAATTGTATTTTTTCCAAAGAACATATGTTTTGTAATTTACTCAGGCCCTGAAGATGACCCAAATAAAGGCCGAAATATCGGCAACAAAATGAAAAAGATATTTGTTTTTTTTTAAACTACCACATTCTTGACTGCTCCTCACGACAAGACATACATATTTAGTATTAAATTGTTTTTAATGAATGGTAGATAAAGTGAATTTAAGTCAGAATAAAGAAGTCAGCAATCCTCATACGAATGTGAACTTACAGTAAAACCCGATTTAACAAAGACTAAAGTAAAGACCTTTTAGACATCTGTCACTGTTAAACTAGTGTCACTTTTGACTCCTAGGCGCACTACCGGCTAAAAGTTTTGAACCCTGCAAATTTTGGCCAGCCAGCTTTGAAAATTTTGCGTGTCTCCCTCTCTTCTATCCGCAGTCCGTTCACGTCCAAATTCTCCGTTTTCTTTGGCAAAAAATTAAAAATAAAAAAACAAAAAACTACATAAACGTCCGAAGATAAAGAAAAAAACAACTGATCGAAGAAACGTTTTAGGAGCTGTTGTAGTTGATTTTTTGTTTTTTTGCCCGAAAAGAGAATTCGAGAAGAAGTGGAGAGCGCGCGGTTGGAGGCGGACGTTTTCCCGAGGACCGAGCCTGCCGTCCGGACTGCGGACGGGCTTCGAGGGGAGATTTACGCAAGATTTTCCTCCGTGCTTTTCCTCGAGGAGAGGCCCTGGTCATTTTTTTCTCATCGAAGAGAGAGAGAGAGAGAAGAAGAAAAGAGAAGAGAGTGGTATCACGTCTACTGTGGATTGTGGAACTTGGAAGCGACTATGATCGTCGGCGGACGGATCATTAAAGCACTGCGGCGGAAAGGGCCGGAATGAGCCGAGCTTCGTTTCAGTCCGTGTCCGACTTCGGTTTCGTCCGCTGTCCTTTCGACGCCATATTCCCGTAAAAGCCCTGCTCCGAGGATCGCCACGCCAAAAACGAGGCCCCGTCTCTCCCGAGGGGAAGAACGAAGATCAAAACTGGATTTTTACGTTAGAGACGACCGCAAATGGCCTGCCTCATCACTCTGAAGCAAGAGATCAAAACGTTAGAGGCCGTCTTTCCAAAAACGCACGACCGTTTCCAAATCGTCTCCGCGAGTGTCGACGAGCTAAATTGTAAATTCGTCGGCAGCAATGGGAAAAAGTACGAGATAAACGCCAACATCACCGTAAGTCAATGATTTTCCTCATAAAACAAAAAATAATCTTAACTGGTGATATATTTTCCCCCCTCGTTTCCTTTTTTTTTTGTGCCTCGGGTGGTCAGGTATCCCCGAACAAAGGACGTGAACCGTACCTCGTCCCACGGTCGCATATAACTGTACAGGGTTCGCTTTCAACCCCGTGGCCCGAATCTCGGCTAAATGATAACAAAGGCGGACCCGCTGACAAATCCGAGGCCCGTTCCGACGCGCAATTTACAACAAAATTGACGGATTTTCTTTTTCCCAACTAGGAAACTTACCCGACGACACCGCCCGTCTGGTTCGCCGAATCCGAGGACACCAGTGTCACGAATGCTGTCCAGACCCTGTCGAAAACCTCCGGACCCGACAACCACGTAAGTCCGTTTTTGTGTGCACAATAATACAAAATTAATTACCTTCATTTTTTCTCTTTTTGTCGTTGTTTTATTTTGTCCCGGTCGAGTCGATAAATATAAAATAAGGGTCCTTTGTGTTTTGTTTCTCCTTGCACAAGACAAAGGCAAGACATTAAAACATTTCAACTTCTTTACCATTGCCATTTCAAAACGAAACGCGCACCTATGAAATACATTCCTGCGTTTTCTCTCCCTTGCCCAACCGATTTAATTAATTATATTTTATTAATTACCAATCTTGCCCGTTGGAATTAGTTTCAAATGTGCTTTTTTTCAAAAACACCGACACCCTGAGGGTTTATATTACCTCTGCTGTTGCCAACCCTCGTAAAAAAAAATAAATAAATAAAAAAAGAATTAGTTTCACAACTATTTGAAAAACTATTTCTCATAAACTTTTAGTGAAAAACTCGAAAAACAAATTCATAGCATAAATAATCATAAAATCATATCATAACAGTGTATTCTTCATATTTTGTAAGTCCACACTTTTAAATAACAAGGACAATTATAATTACAAGTACATTTACATTGAACGTTTTTAATATGTGTTTACGTTTGGGCATTAATCAAAATCAGATAACCCTTATTTTGAGTAAGGTCTGTCATAGTATTAATTCTGTAAAATTTCAAACTTTTTGGCAATCGCTATATTTTACCTATTCAAAACCTTGTCATTTTGTTAATAAAATAAGCATTTATTTTAGTACATATAATAAAAGTTAATTACAATCTCACAATGTTATATTAAGAAAACATTTGGCTTTGAAATTACCCTTAAACACTTTAAACAATAATTATACTATATGTATCCCAATCCGTCCAAATCCACCGCCATAATTATCGGGTCCAGGCAACTCCTCAATTTCCTCCCCAGCATCCCACCTCTCATGCTAAATAACCATCCCATCCCCTTCTGCTCTTCGGTTAAAAACCTAGGAGTAGTCTTTGACCAAAACCTTTCCTGGCATTCTCACATTACCCAAATTTCCCACCATTCCATTGCCTCCCTCAGCCTGTTTCGTCGGTCCTGGCTTCTCTTACCTTTCTCCACTCGCAAACTCCTTGTATCTTCCCTTCTTCGATTATAGCTGTTTGGCATACGATGGTCTCTTGGAGGGGGAGAACACACGATTGAAGCGTATTATGAATTGTTGCGTAAGATTTGTGTACGGCACGGTGTATTCCCAACTTTCCTGGCTATTCCACTCCTTCCGTGCACAGTATTTCCTAGGTTGCTTTCTTTTCCAATCCATCCACACTTGTCGTCCTCCTTACATCATCCAATCCCTCCAATTCAACTCCTCACATCTCACTCGTAAGACCCGCTCATCCCCAATCGACCTTATCCTTCCGCAACATACAACCCCCCTAAACTCTAGAACTCCCTTCCCCTTTATATTCGTCACGCTGCCTCCTTTTCCTCCTTTAAATCCCACCTGTATAATCACCTCCTCTCCCTCCAAGCAGAGACCTCACGTTAACATTTGTTATTTTTGTTTAATATATATATTTTTTTTTTTTTTTTTTTTTTTTTTTAAACTTCATAGAAGGAACTTCCTTTATTTAATTCATGTAAATTATTCTTAGGGGACACCAGTCCCAGAATAAAGTTATTTTTCTTCTTCTTCTATGTATCAATCTTGTCATAAAATAATTATAAATCAAAGCATAACTCTGAAGGTTATAATAACATTTTATACTAATTTGTTTTGTTGTCCCTGTTCATGGAAGGATTAACCATTTTTTATTGGATGCATAAGCTATTCTATATTCCTACAATTTTAAGGTAAACTAGGACAATTGAAATAAAAAGCACCACTAAAACTTATTAGACAGAAAACATAATACATTGACAGAAACGGAAAAATAACTCTAGATTATTGTCATATTTTTAGACTAGTCATGTTAATGGATGTTGGTGTTTAGTTTTGCACATTAATTTAATCAATTTCCTTATTTCATCGGCTTATTTGGTATGAAAAGTCCTGTCTATTAATTATGTAAAATCTTAACCTTATTGTTAATTGTTAGTACATATAATAAAAGTTAATTACAATCCCACCATGTTGTATTAAGAAAACATTTCGCTTGTAAAGTACCCTAAAACACTTTCAGTGAAAACCTTAAAGCAATACTATATGTATGAATCTTGTCATAAAATAATCATAAATCAAAGCATAATTCTGAAGCTAAATCAATTAGGTTTTGTGGTCAGATTGGCCAATTAAATTCTTTTAAATTAATTAATTGAAAAATGGCAAAAAAGAGGGAAAATTAAAAAAGTGGGGTTGAGGTGGTGGGAAGTTAGTGTCCGAGTGGATCAAAGTCACGATAGCTCAAATGGTAGAGCAGCGGCGTATTTAGCCGAAGGTCATGGGTTCGAATCCTGCTTGTGACACTGGCTTTTTTATCTCAACCAAAACCTTAATTATTTAATTGAATTTAATTTAATTGAAAATAATTCTGAAGGTTATAATAACATTTTATACTAATTTGTTTTGTTGTCCCTTTTCATGGATGGACTAATCATTTTTTTTTTTTTTTTTTTTTTTTTTTTTTTTTTTTTTTTTTTTTTTTTTTTTTTTTTTTTTTTTTTTTTTTTTTTTTTTTTTTTTTTTTTTTTTTTTTTTTTTNAAAATTAAAAGTAAAAAATGTAAATGAAGAATAAATGAATATCAATCAAAACAACCCTCTAGTTTATTATTGTTTTTACACTCGCCAAGTAAACATTAAATCTGTGACTACTTTTGGGTGTTAATTGGTACCAAATAACCTTTATTTTGTTGGCCTAATTAATGTGGAAAGGCTTGTCATAGTAATTTTATAAAATTTCAAAAAAAATTCCATGACCATTTTACAATAAAAAAAATTTAAAACTCATTACATATGTAAACATACAATAAATCAATTTAAACCAAAACATACCCTCTAATTTTTTAATATCTTTTTACACTTTTAGTGATAGATTTATACATTATAAATTTATATCTATGCCTATTTTTTGACGTTAATTGGTACCTAATAGCCTTTATTTTGCTGAAATAATTAATGTGGAAATGCTTGTCGTAGTAGTAATTTTATATCTAACTTTTTTCCATCACCATATTTACATATTTAAAACCTAGACATTCAGTTAATAAAATAATAATTTATTTTAGTAAATATAATAAAAGTTAATTACAATCCATGTTATATTAAGAAAGCATTTGACTTCGAAACTACTCCAAAATACTTTTAGTGAAAACCCTAAAGAAATAATCATACTGCATGTAATCATGACAGAAAATAATCACAAATTGAAGCATGACAAAGTTATAGTAATATTTATTCATTTCTTATTTTTAGTCGTCCCTCTTTTTTTTCCTATATTTTGACAGGCAAGCCATTTTTTATTGGATGTAAAAATCATTTTATATTCTTATACTTTTAAGGTAAACAAGGATGTTGAAATTAAAAAACAAAAAACTAAAACTCATTAGACAGTAAACATAATTAATTGACAGATATGGAAGCATAACTCTAAATTATTGTTGCATTTTTATATTTTTCATGTAAAAAGGACATTTATAAATATTTATACATTGAAAATTTATGTTTGTTTACTTTTGGATATTAATTTATATCAAATAACCTTATTTTATCAGCTTATTTTATGTGGAAGGTCATGTCTATTAATTCTGTAAAATCTTAACCTTTCGTCAATCCACTATATATTACCATTACATTTTTTTAAAATCAAACAATAATTTATTTAATTACATAGTTAATATAATCTATTATATTAAGAAATCAGTAACTTCAAAACTACTCCAAAACACTTTTGGTGAAAACCCTAAAGAAATAATCATACGATCTATAATCTTGTCATAAAATCATCATGAATCAAGCATAACTGTGAAGGTTATAATTACGTTTTATATTTCTTCACTTTTGTTATCTCTTTTTTTAATCTTATGGATGGACATAAGATTAAACTTTAATTTAATTAAAGTTAATTATTAAGATTAAACATTAAACCCCTAGCTTTACTGAACTTAACTTTAAATTTTACGAGGAAGCTGCACTGCACCCTTCTTGAATAAACTTGGACTTTTTGCCATGCAATTTGATCTAGTGAGTTATCATGAATGGAAATAAAATTGAGATAGAATGAAGTAATAAATGACAATGGGAGTACACTTGAATATATTAGTACAATCGTACTCTCCACCTTCGCCAACTTCAGCAATGGTGACATTGATGCTTTCTTTGAGAAAAACTTTGAACACCTTGACAGTTTAAAATTTAAAATACAAAGGCATATAATGCTTATTTTCCTTGTTATTGTCCAATTGGGTTAATCCAGACCAGAAATGGTTTGTGGATTTGGAATAAGTTAAAGGTACCCAATTTATGCTTCTCTCCTTAATGCTAATTAAATGTAGGGATGAGAATAAACCAGTTTTATATTTGTGGGCACTAATTACAAATTCGCTAAGGCTGCGGTTGGTACATGCTGTATCTTTTCCCTTTGTCCTGGAAACAAGTATCACAGGTATTTTCGTTTTGAATTGTTCCAAATCAAAACAGCTCCTCATTAAATACTTGTGGGTTACATATTATTGTTACTTTGTAAATTGCCACCAGCGTCAGTTGAATTTTATTTTATATGGAAATGTTTGTTAGTAAAATTCTGCAAAATCTTACCCTTTTTCTCCATAAATTATACAAGGTTGGTGATCATTAATAGAACAATTTTATATTGAAATTTTATACTTTTATTCAGTTTGTACATTGTTTGATACCCAAAGAAAGATTATTTTGTTTACTTATTTTACGTAGACTGTATGTCATGATGTTTACACACTAAAATCAAATTGCCCTTTTGTCCATTAATTCAAATGTTCATTGGATGTTAAGTATCTTGGAAATTATAAGGTTTTTACATAAAAGTGTAAAACAAAATTAGTTGAAGT